AACCAGCCCTTTCAGTCGCGGTTTGGTGGGGCTTGTGATACACCACATCGAATTATTGGCAAGTCGTCCTGGAAAGTTGGGGGCGCCCCTGGCATTGGAATCCGGGTTGTCTGTCGTCATCTCATTCAAGGGGAATCTGAGACATGGGGATTGTTGGTCAAAACAGGGTTATCTAGGCACCGTTTTCTTGGCCAATTTTTTCGTGGGCAAGTCTGCCGAGGATGGATTCCTGGCGATAACAGAACGATATGGCTGGAATTCGACACGCTAGCTGATTTTCATTGCAGTACTTTGGTTGGTTGGTGAGGGAAATCTCTAGCTTCACTATCACCGCTACTATTGATATACTACGCTGACAGACTTTTTTCAGTTCTTTCTTTTTATTCTTTATGACCCGCCGTCCATTCAACGTGGGCCAGTCAATGCGAGATTTACGACCACGCTGTCGAGCTGCGTGGATTATATACTTCAATATCAATAGCTCCATAGCATTACAGTATCAGTAATCAACTAGTGGAGACTGCGATAGCCCGTAGGGTTGTGTTGGTTGTAATGCTTCATTAATTTAGTATACAGTTGTGGGTTCAACGGACATGTCGCTCTCTCTTGGCTAAAACGGTTGTTGCTTGAAGTGCATACTATGGGGATCTGCCACCTCTCATTCTGATCTCTCCCCCTCTCAGCCCCTCCAAAGTACTGACAAAAAAGCCACCCTTGCGGGAATCAGTGGGTGATCATGGTGATCATGACGAATCCTCTACATACTTACCTACCCCTGAGTACGCAATGTGCGGAGATTATTTACATGGCGGACATCAAAAAGCGGTCGCGCAACAGGGTCCTGATTTTACCGGATGCGGTCAGGGCGGTTAGGGTAATCATTCAGGGCCCGGTGGATTTGTTGTTGTCTCGGCCCGATAGTTTCGGCATTGAAGCTTCTCACTATTTGTCGATCGACCCAACGGGAGCGACGGCTTGGGTCTCGGGATGGAAGGCTAAGGAGAAGAAGAAAAAGCAAGCAAGTAAGCAAGCAAGCATTGGGAAAAAGGGACCGGATCAGCTTCCCGCCGCACACGGGTTCATCCGGACGGTGATCAGTGGCTAGATAGAGATAGGGGTGCTACAGTAGGGATTCCAGACACTCTCAAACCAAAGGAGCACGCAATCAGGTTTCGCTGACTGGTTGAAAAATAATCCATTCCAATTTTTTAGAGGTGTTGTATTTTTCTTTCTAGGCTTAATCCACGTCGCCGATCGATGAACAGCTGGTCACACAAGCTTTCCAAGCAATACTACTATCCATTCATTGACCCTTCACAGACCACATGTCAAGCGGCGATCGTGGAGCAGAAAGCATTGGATATCCACCCCGTAAATCCACTATCGATAGCATCGTTGTAACGATCCACTCTGTGGCGAGCATGTGAACAGTTACTCGACTCTGCTGGAGTCGTAACCCCCGTCTGGAAAAGGGAAGAGGAGAAGGATGGGGGGTGGTAGTGTTATTCAGCAGGGAGGCGAATGAGAAATCACAGACCTGATCCACCAGAGACAATGTGGTCGCACTTCGCACTGCAGGGTGAGACTGGAGGAGACAGATAAGCCAGTAGACTATTAATAAACTAGCGATAATGCGATAAACGCAATGGCAGGGTCAACTGAACTATGCTGGACGCGCAATCGATGAAGAAATGCTGCAACACCAGAAATTAGGGCACGGAGCGCGACCGAAAAAGAAGTGTGGACGGAGAGAAAGTCTATCGATGCCACACCATCACTGCCTTCCCCCAGCTGAGAGAACCCACTTTTTCCTCAGATTCTTTACAGACTTTTTTTCCTTGCGCCCCGCCAATCTACTATTTAAAAAATGACCCGGCTGTCCCTGTCTCGTAGTTCCTCAATTCAGAATCTCTATCAAAATGGCCATCTTCGATCTTTTGCGAGGCCGCCGCGCGCAGGAGCAGCCGCAGCCGCAGCAGTTTGACGGCGATACTCCCTCCAAATTTCCCCAATTCACTATCTTTTCTCGTCCGGGCTCGTCGTTAGGTGATGCCAGTAGCACGCCTTCATCGGGTATTGCCACCCCAATCGAAGAGAAGCAGCTCACGAAGCTGGGACCATGTCCCGAAATTGGTCGTCTGGCCTCGTGGAAAGGCGCCCTCATCCTGCTCGTCACCTCCGGCTCCCAATTCCTAGACAATGTCTTCATGACCAGTGCCAATGTTGCTTTGTCATCTATTCAAGAGAACTTTGACGTGTCGGACACCAATCTCCAATGGATGATCTCCGCATACACCCTTACGTTTGGTGGGTTCTTGCTCCTTGCGGGTGTTCTTTCCGACCGGTATGTACCATGTCCCCTTGAGACAATATCCTTCACCAAGCTAACTATAGACTTTCTCATCCAGGTATGGTCGCAAGTTGATCCTCTGTCTGGGTCTCAGCTGGCTCTCCCTATGGACCCTGGCCATTGGCTTCGGCCAATCATTCATCCAACTCACAGTCTTCCGCGGTCTGCAGGGCATGGGAGCTGCGCTCACTGTGCCTTCAGCGATCGGAATCATCAGCTCCTACTTCAGTGGTCTTGATCGGACCCGCGCACTGTCCATCTACGCTTCCTCCGGAACTGTGGGGTTCTGCGTGGGTCTTATTTTTGGTGGCTTCCTTACTTCCTCTCTGGGATGGCGATACATCTTCTACTTCATTGTCATCATCACCGGCTCGCTAGGCATCCTGGGTGCGATTGTCCTTCCCAAGGACAACCTTGCTGGCAAGGAAAAGCCCAAGATGGACTATGTCGGCGCCATGCTCTCCACTGCGGGTCTGATTCTCCTCCAATTCGTGCTGTCCAGCGGTGGCTCCTATGGCTGGGGCACACCCTTCATCATTGTCCTTCTGGTGCTAGCCGTTGCCCTGCTGGTGGCTTTTACTCTCTGGGAGAAGTTCATTTCGTACCCACTGATGCCTCTGGGCTTGTGGAAGCTCCCTAACTTTGCTGGTCTATGGATCGCAGGATTTAGTGAGTCCCTCCACCTCTAATCTTTCTGCATACAGAAAACTAACTTACCCTTCCAGCCTGCTACGGCAGCTACCAAAACGTCATCTACTACATCGTCCTAATGGCGCAAGAAGTGGACAAGCTGTCCGCCGGCGACACCGCACTCCGCTTCCTCCCCATGGGAGTGATCGGTTTCATCGCCTCCATGGGCACCGGCAAGGCCCTCGAATACGTCAATGGGAAATACACCCTGCTGGCGGGGCTGATCCTCACTGTTCTCGCCCCAGTCCCGAGCGCTATCACATCCAGCCCGGAAACCAGTTTGTACGTGATCCACTCACTATCCCCTGAATGAATGAATGTTGGCTAATGATTTACATCCAGCTGGGTCAATGTCCTCCCCACCTCCCTGATCAGCATCACTGCCGTGTCTCTCATCTTCGTCACCACCAGCACTGCCATTCTCACTACTGTCCCGGTGCATGTGAAGAGTCTATGTGGTGGAATGGTAAGCTCCATCCCCTATTTCCCGTCTTACATCACATTGGAAACCCTGAACTAATGAAGAAAATAGCTCAACACAGCCTTCCAAATCGGCTCCGGCGTCGCCCTTGCCATCTCCGCGGCCGTCGCTGAAGAAGTAGACATCAAAAAGGGACATGATCTCGCGCATCAATACCGCACGGGATTGTGGTGCTCTGCCGGTCTAGCTGGTCTAGGCCTGATAATTGCATTCTTTAGTGTGAGCAGGAGGGGAATTGGGCCGGGTGATAGGGATGATACTGTTTGCGCGATATAAGTAGACTTTTCTTTTTCTTTCTCTTTTCTTTTCTTTGTCTTCTTTTCTTTTTCCTTCGATTCACTTCTCTGACCCCATTATTTGTTTTGCTTTTCGATGATTCCCTTCTTACTGATTGTGATTTGAGATCTGTTGTGTTTGGTGTTGGTGAGAGGGTACTTCATTACTTGCTTGCTTATTTCTTTCTTTTTCTCCCTAGATGGGATGGGATACAACGGGTTATAGATGGGAAACAGCGGGACGGAAAAGTGGGCTATACATTATCATTGGTTTTTGGGATTTGATTTTCATCGTTCCTTCTTGCTAGATGATATGACATGTTATGACTGCTATGATATATAGATAGATAGATGGGGGGGCGAATATACATACATACATATATTGATTATTGTGAATATCACTTGTTTACTTTTGCTCATTGATCCCAGTGAATGAAAGGGAAAAGTGATTGAGTATCTCCTGAACCATTAGATCAATCAGGAAAGTATCTCAACTGGGGTTGTAGCTCAGTGGTAGAGCGCTCGCTTTGCATGCGAGAGGTCAAGGGTTCGATCCCCTTCAGCTCCATTTTTTGTTTTTTTTTTCTCCCGCACCCCCCTCTCCTCTCAAACTCTCTATGCTACCTACCCACCCATCAAAACTAGGTCAGTTTGACCATATTGAAATTTTGCTTTTTGTGACTCATGCGACATATTTTTATTAGTGATATGAACATAAATAGAGAAGAATAAAGTTTCACCAGAACAAAATCCTGCTTCTGGATCACTTTCGCTTATAACTAGTACGGAGTAGATTGCAATGAGAAAAACTTTAAATCTGGGCGGGTCCGGCAGACGGGAGGGAGGGGAACCATTACCCACCTCTATTCTACCCACTATCCAGTGATAATAATTTTCAGGGACTCGTGGGTGACTTGGACCATGAATGGGTGGTTTGGATTCTTGGTTTTTTTTATTAGGGGGATTGAAGTGGCGAATTCTGTGAAGTTCGAACTGGGTGAGGTTTTTGTGGTTGGTTTCTAGGTCTAGTTCAGATGCACTCGTTCTTGGCAGTAGTAAGATATATTTCTGCTCCTAAACATCGACTTCACCACCAGAATTCTTGTGATGCGCTGAAAAATTCACCGAAGGATACACTACTTATCACTAGTAGCATTGACTACCAAAGGTGATTGGGAAAAACAGCAACTACTAAGTAGTTAATTCACTTCGCACTCCCCCACAACTTAACCTCCCCCATCATCCCTACAAATCCCTCCGCGATCCTCTGCACCGGTGCCTCGATCGCAATGGGTGCCCACACCGAGTACTCCCCATTAACGCCAAGTCTCGCTAGGAATTCCATCTTCTTACCCCCGTCAACAGATAAAAATGTTTTATTTCCCTTTCCGATCAAGCTCACATCCGACCATTTTCCGACCGGGAGACTGTAGTTCAGTGTGTATGGGTTCCCGCCGCTCACAAGGGTGATATTACTGATTGACCCGTTGCAGTTGAGGAGGGTAGAATCCCTCCCTGAGAATAAAGGTGACGGGTGACTTGTGGAAGGATATACAGAGAAAGAGAGGGTGTAGTCTCTCCCTTTGCTTTGGATAGGGGTGGTGAGGGTGCATGTTCCCGTGAATCTTATGGTTGAGTTAGAAGTATTGATGGGACAGGTGTGGTTTAATGTAGCGTGGTAGTTGTTCCCAGATAAATCCGGGACAGTTGTCCCAGTGGTATTGGCGAAGTTGTAATGTAGAATCAGATCGGTCTTGCTCGGTACATGACGATCGAGGCTCTGGCCTGGGATCACAGGGTGGAGTGTATCGAACACATCATCGTATTCATCTTCCAGGATATCACCGCCCCATTGCTTGTCTGCTAGTGTGGGGAGAACGTCACGCCAGGAGTAATACGCCTTGAGATAGGTCGTTGCGTTGGGACCGTAGTCGTTCCAGAGGGCGGCGATGTGGCCGAGTACGTAGGGGTTATCTCTTGGAGGATTGTTGGTTGCGTTAGTGGTAGAGAAGATGTTGGGCGCGTAGGGGCCGTTGTTTGCTGGATCACCGTGGAAGACTCGTGTCTTGTTGAGGTACTGGGGATAGCTTCCGGACCATTTCCCGACTATGTAGAAGGCGTCGTCGGAGTTGAGAACCGAGTAGTTGTTCTTGATGTAGTCGAAGTAGGGGTTGTCTTCGTAGAATTCCCAGTGCTGGATGGTGACGGCTTTGGAGACGTTGGCCCCCTGCGATGGTGTGAAGGTGCCCCAGATGCGGGAGTTTTTGTCGGATTGCTCGGCAATGTAGGTGTGCATGTCGTTGACGAAGTCGGTATAGTCGGAGACGTAGGAAGAGGAGTATTCGTCCGCACCGAGGTGGACGATTTTGCTGTGGAACCAAGGAAGGAAGATCTTCCAGATTGTTTTCATGGTCGGGATGGTGTCTGGATGGCTGATGTTGAGCATGCTGAGGTCTGTCAGGCCGAGTTCTGGTCGCCATTGCACGATGGCGAGGGCATGGCCGGGCGCTTCGATTTCAGGGATGATGGTGACACCGCGACGGGCGCATTGGCGCTGGATGTGATCGAATTGGCTGCGCGTGTACGATTCGTTGGCTCGTTTGTTGAGCCCGGATAGGGTGGGGTCGTCGGACCAGGGCCGGAATGCTGCGTAGAGATCTAGAGATTCCTGGGTGGAGTAGAGATCGACGTTGTTGTAGAGATTGTCGCTCAGATGGAGGTGGAAGACGTTTTGCTTGAAGAAGGACAGATACGAGCACATCTCAATCAAGAAGTCGGGTGGGTAGTAGTGACGTCCGGCATCGAGCTTATCGGTTAGATGTATGGTCGTGTACAGGTGTTTGAGGGCTTACCATGACGCCTCGCGTCCCCCATCCTGGAGCATCGATGGCAGAGCCTTGAGGGAGGTTGTGTTTACTGACCACAGCAGCCTGGATTAGCGAGCGTGTTCCCCATCAAACGCCTAAGGGGCTTGCCCCAGAGATGGTAATTCCATGATTGTCGATGAGCAAGGCATATGCCTCCGCTGTGAAGCGTCCCGCAACATCGCGGAAGTCCGTATCATTGGAGAGGGTCAGGAAAATTGCATGGTCGCTAGAGGTACTACTGGTGACAAGTGGGAGGTCGATCCCAAGAGAAGAACGAAGGTCCTCTTGGAAGGTCGCGCCAAATTCTTTCAAAGTCGGTGGAATCAATGTTTGGCCTTGAGTATCCACAGTACTGGCATGGCGAGCATCCACGACAATCTTGGTGAGTTGTGACAGTTCATAGGTGCCATTATTATCAGCAAAGGGAATAGTGGGGACCGTCACCAGACGGGCGAACCCTGTAATTGTAAGAGACTACATGAGCTATGATACGTCAAGGTGCATACCGCAGATGGTGAAGTCGAGAATAAGACCGACGGTGCCAAGTGCCCTCCACCGCATGATGATGCCTGAACTATTCTTAAAGTCTTAGAATGGGCGTGCGTCCGAATAAATAGTACCCTGGCAGACCCGCATGTAACCTGCAAATACTAGCGAAGTTGTGCAGCACGATAGCAAGGTTGCAGCTCGGCTAGCAGGGTTATATTGACCGTTTCATGCGACCTGGAAACGGTACTTAGAAGAGATCCTTGATTGGTTATGATTGCCAAGTTGAGGGCTAAGTCCAAACCCCGCACGGACGTGATATGCGCTTCACTCTGATAACCTATGAGGGGTCGGGTTATTATCGGATTGCCCCGACAGTTGGATGCAGATCATGTACTAGAGCATGCTAGTAGTGTCACCTTCCCCTCTTCATGTAACGTACTGTTGTGCAGAAGGTACTGATAGATCGAGGTTCTTCAATGGGAGAATGTAACATATAGGCCATGGAAGGTCTGTGTTGAAGGAACCGATAAGCTAAAGCAGCACTGGATATGATGTAGTCTCTGATCAGGGTATACGTCAAAACTACAAAGCGCATGATTCGATATTGCGAGTAGCATTTTCTACGTAGATGTACTGATACGCGATGGAAGTAAAAGGTAGAGTATGGGGAACTCACAATCGAGTCAATCATTATTCCGGCAACAGCTGAGATGCCTGAAGTGTATATATGACATTATAATCCCAGATATCCAGAATAGTGCAGATCAGGCTAGCAGAAAGCTTCATATTTTAGTATCAATATACTAAATCCAACCACACCACCCCATTTCCCATCCCAGATACAGACAGTCTATCCATCGGATCTACACTAGATCTATGTCGTACCCGAACAAAGTGTTAAAATCCTCCTTTTCAGCCCCAACTTCACGCTCCGAGTCCGCATCACCATCGCTTTCCTGCACCTTAACCTTTGCTGGAGGTGATAAACGATGTTTCGGACTCTTCGTAACCGGACTCTTCGCTGCATGATGCTGATGCCGATTCTGCTCACTTTCCTTCTTCACTACCTTATTCTCTCCTTGTGACGCCTCTCTCTCCTCAACATCGAGAGCCTCCAAGGTGGTATTAACTTGATCTAGTCCTCGGGCTAGTAGATCACGTAGATCCTTGAGATTGGTTTTTTGCAGCTCCAGACAATTGGAAATATCGTCCACGTGATCCAACAATAAACTAGTCTGGGTAGATAAGAAGTAGTCGACGTCCCGAGACAGTCTTTTCTGTATTCTCTTCAAGTCTCTATCAAGGCAGTCCAGATCCTCGGGGCTGAATGATCTAGATGGGGAGGACATGGTGGTGAGGTTGCTGCTAATGCTGGGGGATGAGTATCGAACACGATACGTGTTTGAGTGGTAAGTGGTGAGTGGTGAGTAACTGAGCTCGAGCCTGATCAGACCAAATTACACAATATGATCTCTACAACAGAAGATTAGAAGGAAATAACAATCATATTTATGTCCCCCAAATAACATAACCCAATATCATCCTAAATCCAAAGATACCCATATCCCCGGAACCTTCCAATCCCACCATTCCCAATATCAAACCACCAACCCCCAAACCCGGAACTTCCCACCAACCTCCAAACCCAACAAAGACTACTGCAATACTACCTACCCACTTACTACTCCTCATTCCCTTCCCCGCCATCCAACCCACAAGAAAGTAAACTCTCCGCCTCACTCTCCCCACCACTCTCCATCAAACTCTCGGGATACTCCACCCGACAACAAGCGCACGCGCACGCACACCCAGACCTACACTCACACTCACTACCATCCAGACTCGGATCGATTTCCACCTCCGTCTCGGAATTGCTCTCCTCCTCACTTTCCGTCTCGGACTCGGTACTTCCCTCAGTGTGTGCCTGTTTTCCATTTTCCTTCTTCTGGATTCCGTTTCCCTTGTCCGGAATGTAGAGTGGCTCCAGTTCCTTTCCATACCCATATGAAAAAAGCCCCATTCCGGAACATTCGGCATCTGCCTCGACCGCGTCATCGATCACTTTATCCCATATGTCTCTGCACTTGTCCTTCAGGGTCCGGGAACAGCCCTGCTCGGTCATCTTTGACATGTAGATTTTGCGCACTTGGCCGAGTGAGGAGGCCGAGATGGAGGGTTTGTGGGAATGTTTTTTGGTCATGGTGGTGACTGTAGTAGTTTTGGTCGGGGTGCGATGGGAGGGATGAATGGAGGTGGTAGGGTCGGAGGGGTGGTGTTGATTTGCGGTCCCCCCCTTTTCTTTGCCTTCTTTTTTTTTGGGGTTTAGTTCAATGTAGTTGGAGTAGATAGAAGGAGAGAAGAGACTCTAGAAAGGATCGAAGATGGTAAGGGGCAAACGTGGCACCCGTGGAGTACGAAAGACTGACGGAGAAAGGAGGATGGAACACGGAACGTCAAAAAGGTCATCAGTTTTGAGTTTCTCTGGATTGGGATTGTGTTGCTACCTAGCAGGGGGATTGAGTTACCTGTGATAATTGCTCGACGATAGTGAATGGGCTCATGTTAGTCGTTATAGCGGATCATTTTACAAGGGAAGTGAGCACGCTCGGGGGAAAAGGAAGATAGAGCTGCGTGAACGGATGCATAGTATCAAATCTGACATCCCGACCACATCTAAAAAACGGAACGCACCACCTCTCCCAAAAATTCACTCGCTCTAGTATACATTTGTAAGCGATGGACTGAAATCGTGCCAAAATCCCATCGCCGTAGGACAAAGTAGAAGGAAATGGGAACCTCCGACGTCTCGCTGTCTCGATGGATGGACGGCTGTTGGCGTGAGCTCGAGTTCAATAGCGCATAGGGCTGAACCGTATCGGAATGGTCGACGTTGATAAAATAATCTATATCGGATGATACCCCGTCCTATGTCGACGTCTCTGGAAAATAAGCATGAAATAGTCGGACTTGTCTTCTGGCGTTAGGGCAGGGGCACGTGCGGCAGTATCCGCGGGGGTCTTGGCGATCGATTTGTCGAACCGTTGACGAACAGGCGCATGGGCATTGGGAGGTCTCCGATTGCTGTGTTGGGTCGTATCCATCATGCCACTCAAGGCTTCAAAGGGCCACAACAAACAAACGAACAAGCATTCTCAACAGTAAGCACCAGGTAAAATCATTACTTGCAAGAAATGCAAGAACTTTTGGAACAGTATATACAGAACAAAGAGCAAGTCAACAATCTCCCACACCAGGCAGAACCTCATGTGAAGAGAAACCTTCCTACATATGGGCCACTAAACAAATCTCTGGTTGCTGGGGCATCGATCCGGTCGGTCCATTGTCGCAAGGGAACTTCGGCACACGCACGGGCTTCGGATTGTCGCTACAGGGCTTCGTTTAACGGAGGTCGCTAAGGGATGGTATCCAAATGGGGGATTAGTAGTCACGTGGCGCAGGGGAAATCCAATACTCGCTGGGATGGCCGGTTGTCGCAAGGGATGCAATGGGTGGGTGAAGGGCTCCGTATGGGGATGTTATGTCGCTGGGTATATAACAGGCGCTGGGTATAAATTGCTGCGGGGCTCGCTTGGGTCGGCATACGGGCTGTCGCTCAAGGGATCGTTTCGTACACGGGCTTGTTGCAGGGGTTCGCTCGGGTATCAAGTCGCGGGGGTAGATATAATAATGCGGGTGTGTCGAAGAGCGCCTCGGGCAAACACAATGGCCGTCCATCAGTTCTCTCGTCCGTCCTTATCCGATTTGGCGTCGCCGGGTAGATTTCTTTCGGAGGCTGAATCTGCTACAACTGCTTCGGTAATAGGGCCATGGTAGAAGCGCTTGCCGCTGATGAACCAGTAAACCAGCGCAAACAGCAAGACAAACACCAGGAACACACAGGCATAGTTCATCTGAGGGAGGGCGGTTTGGTCAGCCCAAAGAGAGCACGGGTATGCAATCATTTCTACTTACGTTGTCAGGGGTCACGGGACGGTCCGTGGGAAGAACGAAAATAATGCTGACGAAGAGCGTCCAGAGGCAGGCCCAGGCATTTACAGCCTTGCTGAAGATGCCCATGTGCCAAGGTCCGGGTCTGAATTGGCCAAACAGCAGTTTGCACAGAATGGGGATGCAATAACTCCAGTCAAGAGCGATGGAGCAGAGGGTGAACACGGCATCAACTGCCGTGTAGGACCCCAGAGCGATAAGATTGATGGCAATGCAGAAGAAAACGGAGATCCAGACTGCATAGAGGGGAGTGCCAGTCATGGGAGAAACCTTGACCCAGACGTTGGAAAAGGGAAGCATGCGGTCACGGGAGAAGGCAAAGACAGTTCGGCCAAGCGACTGCATGGCTGTGAAGGTGACAAACTTGATAATGAGCAGAGCAGAAACGGTGAAGAAGATGGCACCACCCTTGCCAAGGCTGTTATAGAAGATCTGCGCGACTGGCTGTTCCATCTTGGAGTTAAGGATAGCGTTCGGGTCACCCATGCAGAAGCACAGAACAATGTTGAACAGGAAGCCAGCCAGATAAGTGAACAGCATAGCCATTGAAATCGCCCAAGGCGCCTTAATCTCAGGGTTGCTGATTTCCTCGGTAATATGAGCCGTGGCATCATAGTCCGTCATGGTCCAGCTGACTGACAGGAAGCCAAACAGCCAACTGAAACCGATGGGCTGCCAACCAGAGGTCGATTCGACATGGGTGAAGACGTACGAGGCATCGTGTTTGTCGTCGGTCATGACCAGAAGAGCAATAGCACAAGCTACGAGGATGCAGACGTGAAAGATGACATAAAACTTGGTCATCTTTTCCATCCAGTATGTAGACAGAGAGTTAACCAGACCGGTAATGAAGGTCAAAGCAGCCATCACACCAACTGTCGTTGTGGTTTTGATCTCGTAGTTGTCCATTCCCTTGCACATCGAGACAATGGCCAGGAGCATTTGCGCACCGCCATACTCGGATGAGGCCACGCCACAGATCTGACCGAGAAAGTTCAACCAACCGGTCACCCTAGACAGTATCAACATTCATCCTCTGAAGCAAGATCATCAGTGTTTTCATACCAACTGATCGACGGAACCCAATCATGTGGAGCAAGTCTCGAGATCGTAAAGTACCTGTCGCTTAGAGTCAGCAGCCGTCGTCCCGAGCGAACGGTGAAACTTACAGGCCTCCAGAGGTCGGGTAGGCAGATACAAGCTCAGCAACCGAAAGCTGCAATATGTTTCATCAGCGTCCGCACAGCGTATTGTTATATTGGACTACCCACCGCGATACACATGCACCCAGCTCCCGAAACAAACCAACACCATACCACCGCGCTGCTTCCTCCCGCCTCGAGAGGATAGGACATGGTGGTCATGATGGTTGCGAACAGACCACTGATACTGACTGCGAACGAAAAAGTGGAGAGATAACCGAACTCTCGCTTGAAGACGGGCTTGTAACCAAACTCTGCGGCGAGTTGAGTGTCGGCCTGATTCGTACCGGCGATGCGGACTTTCTCGAGTTCGGCGCCGTCAGTTTCCATGGCTGGGTTCGCAGCTGCTTTGATGTCTGCCATGATTGCTTGTCGGTTATGCAGCGTGGTTGAGGCAAAATAGAAAGGGCAGGCTGAGTTAGGAAGCGTCAACTGGCAGAAAATAAAGAAAACGAAAAAAAAGTTTTAAGAGAAACCGAAAAGATTTTAAAGCTGCATGCAAGGCGTCAGCAACAATAAATCCGGTCTAAGATATATCCGGTTTAGTTCATATCGGCAAGACCAAGTTGCGCGTCGGTGGGACGAGTTATAACGAAGCTCAATGGTCAAGCGACGCAGCGACCTGGTAAGCTTCGCCGGCGGGTCGTATAGAAAACCGCTACGGCGTACTGGCGTTCCGGAGTTGCCCCTCTATCTCCCTATTCCACGGAGACGAGGCACAGGAACATGGGCTAGTGGACTCGAGTGGATCACCATGACATCCCGTCTGGGATTCCTGGCTGTTTTGCGGGACAGCTTTCCTACACCCGGTTTAGCCGATGCACCGGACCTTGAATCCAACGCCTCCCCAATGGCCAGCCGTCCCCCGCCGGCGCTCATTTCCCAGAGGCTCTCCTCGTCTATCGGTGCCCCTGATTGGTGTTATCCGTTAGCCACGACGCCACATGGGACCCCCGGTACCGCTGATGTCATCGCACGGGCCTGGGGTCCTCTGGTGACTCGGCTAACATGCCTAGTATGGTGATAATAGAAACCATTGGAAAGGCAGAGCAAATTGCATGTGCGAGGTGACTGAGTCGTATGAATTGTGGTTGCGAATTTACGTGATTCTCTCAGGTGACCTGGCTGAGAATAGGGGAGAGACGGAGGCAGCCTAGTGCAGCGAAGTCTTTAATCGGGCCGAATGTCTTGGTGGGACACTGTTGGATTACCTAACTGGCTTATCTTGCAGCTGGGGAATTCCATTGGCGGACTGTTCGATAGGAGTGCGTCTTGGCTGCAGTGATGGAAAGGCTTGTCTTACTGGCCAGATAAGGTGTCGGGGCCGTATCTTTCCGATGCTGACAATGACTGACGGACACAGTAGGGATGAGCATTCTTTGAACCAGCCCTCCCCTGTCACGTGCAAGGGTACCGGAACAGGCAAGTTTTTCCAGGATGCCTTGCCAGCCAAGCCGTATGTATAGTCCGGCCATATTATACCCTTACACTATCCCAACAACAGAATGGTTGATATTATCTAAGGTTTCATCAACTTAGTGTCTGGAAACTATCACTCTATCGGGAAGGATTAGCTTTGGTTCATGATAGAACAGCAGTGCTTATCTGTAATTGCGCGGTCCGCGACCGTGCCTTCGACTCTCAGTTTATCAAGCCCGGACACTAGTCTGCAGGCCCATTGGTTGATACCAGCAATGAGCAGGTACTCGTATGATCAGCGACCCGGCTAGATCGGTTTGCCTGCCCGTGTTCCGTCTGAAGCGCCTCAACATTTTGCGATGTACTCCACATGGGACGGTCCGTCGTCCCTGGCCAGGAGCGGGGACGGGGAAGCTTGCTGTATGGGACTTTGGTCGGAGATCTCGTAGATAACAAATATCGATTGAGAGATATGGTTATCGATCAGAGATAGCATGAGAGGTGATTAGACGATGACAAATGAATGACAGACGATAAATTGGTAACGGTGAGTTGATGGCAAGATTATGGACAGAGGGATGTGGAACTGGCATGAACTCGGTCACCTGAGACGGCGTGACTTCTTCAAACTCCCCAAAAAGTACACGGTCCTCAAGCTCATTCCTATACGCTGGAACATGTTGTCCGACGGGAGTATTCGCGAATAGCATTGCCCCAGTAATGCTATCATGGATGATTTGCGACCATATGAAAATAGTGCTAGGACCCCAAATTATGTCTAGAGCAACCGCAGCCTCTTCGCAAGTAAGCAGCAAACCACGACAAATACACACATGCACCCTACGATACCAAAAAACCATCCAAGATTCTCCACATTCTGTCCAGGGACCTCCACGTTCATACCAAACAACCCAGTGACCATATGCAAGGGAACAAAGATTGTCGCCAGGATGGTCACTTTACTCAAGACTTCATTGACATCGTAACTCAACCGGATATTGTTGACGCTGAGCTGCGCCAGGAAATTCGATTGCGACCGGCCCACAATCTCATCGAAATGTGACAGACTGGTCAATGTGGTCACCAGATGGTCTTGCACGTCGCCCAGGTACACCAAAAGATCGCCATCCGGGAACATTGGATTTCTGTCCTTCGCCTGACAACGCTTGACGAAGCCATTCAAGACGTCGTATTTACCGGTCAAGCAGCGGATAAGCTGGGTGATACTCTTGCGGAGGCTGTCGAGTTGAGGAATGAGCGCCTTGACGTCGTCGACGCGGGCGATGAACACTTGATCTTCGATCGCATCGGCTTCGCGTTCTGCTGCGCGCATGTACGGTTCGAAATCATCGATGATCTCGTCACTATTGGTTAGTGTGTCAGTAGGTTCGGGGATTAGAACAAGAAATAGCAGGCGTACATAAGAGCGTAGCAGATCCAATCACTGGATACGAGATGCGTGTCCTGTGTCCGACGGATCCGGTCCCGGACTCGGGCGATGTGGTGACAACCACTGGGAGAAAAGGTCACTGTGGCATTCTTGAACACCAGAATGTAGAACCCTGAGGAGCCGGGGATAGACGATGATGGCTTGAGGCTTCGAGAACTCTTGAGGTCGTCTGTCGGAAGCAAGGTTTGGAAGGAGATCAAATAGTAGTTCCGAAATGCTTCAATCTTCTCGCGAGGTTCCCTAGTCGCAATGTCCTCTGCCGTCAGAGGGTGGATGGACAATGCCTGGCAGACAGTGCTAACCTCCTCCTCGGTGGCGTCGCAAATGTCAACCCACCATGTGTCCCGCTCCAAACCTTTGGTGTCGGCAGACAAGGTAGACTGCTCGATGAGCAGGCCCTCCCAGGTGGACGAGGTGACGACCTGTTGGGTTCGACAGGAAAAGTGGGAAAACCGGTGGAGTCCCTTCGCGTCCATTCTGTGAGTCCAGACTGAGCAACCACCTCAGGGAGGGAAAAAAAACGACACAAAGCAGATTTGATTCACGACGGGTTAAACCACAAGAAAAACGCAAAAGCCAGAAACGGGCAGAAAGGCGTACACTCAGCCCATTCTATGATATAGACGCTTGTTGACTGATCGAACAAGCAAAACGCCAAAGATCGACACGGTTTTCATCCGTGAGCGCCTGGGCCGGAACAGGTAGAAAGTGAGTGATCTATTCTGCGAGAGAAAGCTGAAAGAAACAGAACATCCACGTTGCGCAAAGCCAGGGGTCAACTGATATTTCACAGAATCCAAGCAGCAGCCTTGTAGGGCTGAGGGAGCGGGCCCCTTTCCCCTCCCGAGGAGCCAATAGTGGATCCCCCACGCAAGTTTTCCGGCTGCCCTGCCCAGTCACCCTTCACACCTGGCGCGACTTGACCCTGCCAGCCCTCCTGGTTGGCCAGCCCTCGAGGACCCCGTGGACAGCTTACGGAAAGTCGGAAGGCAGGATTTGGTAGGATCATCGGGTTCAGGCAGCATTTTTCACCACGGACCTTCCTGAATGGGACTAGACAATTCTAATTAGAGATCCAGCGTCTTTGGGGCGGTGCAACGTTTACCCACGCTGTTGTGGCTCGGACGAGACCCGTTGGAAATGACGATAGTAGGCTGCCACCTTGGCAATGGCGCAAGCAAATGAGATATAACCTTGACATAAGATCCTTGGCTTGTTTTTCCCACCTTCCAGGATCATGTCTTGATCATTTTGTTCATCATTGAACTTTGAAAGTCCTCTCCCTCAATACCACAAAGGCCCTTTGTTCGTTGAAAGAAAGAACGCCCACGACTAACCGAGATGTCCTCCACCTCCACTCTCATGTAAGCTGCAGCACGATTGCTAACTAACTTTGCTAGCGAGCTGACCTGATTTCCTACAGATCCGCAGTAGGGGTCGTGTGGAGATATGCCTGGTTTTTGGCGTTTCGTCCATTGGCCATCCTCGTGCTGACGGGTGCAACCATATCCCTTATTCGATCTGGTGTCTCACTTTGCAAGGATATTCCCTCTATGGCCTATGAGATGTAGGTATCTGCTTGACTGGAGATTGCGCTTTCAGCTAATCTTGATGCCCCAGATTCATGTGGTTCACCTCCTAATGTGATGGGAAGGGGATGTGTTAATACCTGTATTACGTACTGGAGCGAAGGTATCTTGGCGTTGATGATTTGTCATGGTTGCATTGTGTGTCTTATGAAGCGATACTTGCATTGCATATGTACATTGTATTGTGTTTTTCTGCCAGCATCTGCTGTTCAAACTATGTGTCATATTAATTGGAGTTCAGTGTTTGAAGGTAATTCAAACTGCCGTGTGCCCAAAACAAAGGACCTGTCATGTTGAGACTTGAAACATTCAATATTGAAAGCTATCAAGCCCCGAAATTCTTTGATTATCAAGCGATTTCTAAATAGAAGTCCTGTAGACCGATTTATTGATTGTATCACGACTGACAACAATGATTTGCATCGTGTGTGTCGGTTGAGGAGAACAGGGCAGGGAGAAGGCGACCGGAATTGACCGGTAATTGGAAGGGTCACATGACGCAAGTGTATTTCCAAAAATGGGTAGTCCGACAAGGTCATCAAAGAAGGTACTGGATTGTTCAATGTTGTTGAAAGCAGGGAATATGAAGAAACCGCGTGAACAAGTCTCTAGCACATAGCACAGTTCACTGGGATTGAATTCAACAGTCCGCTTGGAGATGACATACCAACTATCATTCTGGCATAAACCTTCGATATCTCTAACCTCATCACATTATCATATAATTACTGCCATGCAAACCGGTCGCTGACAGCCAAAACTGGACTTGAGAGAAGCATCCAAAACCAGCCAATCAGATGCGATGACTTTCGAAGCAAAGCGGACATAATTTCGACCAGTCATCAGTTCCCGGCGTTGAATCCGCTCAAAGTCTCAATACTATGCCTGAGGCATCAGTGCACCCCGCCATCCAATCCGAGCGAAGATCACCGATACCGCACCACCATCAATTCAACAATAACAACAACACCACCACTATGGATAGCCTCAACTTCCCCACCGAAGGCCGCACCTTCCTGGAACCCCATCTCCCACCCAAAGATGGCAACCCATCATCGTCATCGCTCCCCTTCACCACCCTCACCTTCGCCACATCCCTCGACTCACAATTAGCTCTAGCCCCGGGCACGCGGACCGTACTGTCCGGACCGCAATCCAAAGCTATGACGCACTATCTACGCTCGCGCCATGACGCTATTCTTATCGGCGTAGGCACCGCCGTGGCCGATAATCCCGGCCTGAACTGTCGATTGGCAGGGGTAGGCGGATACGGCTCCGAAGGTTTGGCGGGCCAACCCCGACCAATCATTATTGACCCCTCAGCCAGATGGGAGTTTACGGCGCAGTCAAAGATCTTTGAGCTAGCGAGGAATGGACGCGGCAGGGCTCCGTTTATCGTTACGGCTGCGGAGACGGTGCCTTCTGCGGCTCAAAAGGAGGTTCTGGAGGGTCATGGGGGAAAGTTCATTGCGTTGCCAATGGGGCTGGGTTCGGATGGTGCGCATCGAATTGATTGGACTGCGTTGTTGGAGTGTCTTGTGCGGGAGGGACTAAAGAGTGTGATGATTGAAGGGGGTGGTTCAATCATCAACTCATTGCTTGAGCCGGGATGTCAGTCGTTGTTGGATTCGGTGATTGTTACGATTGCTCCGACATGGTTGGGCCAAGGGGGCGTGGTGGTTTCACCAAAGAGGAGGGTCGAGGGGGGTGTGATTGTTCCGGCTTCGAGGCTGACCGGCGTGAAGTGGTATCCGCTTGGGGAGGATGTGGTGCTTTGTGGCAGGATTAAGGGTTCTGAGTAGGGGTGGTTGGGTTCGTCATAACGCAGATTTCTCCATTCAGGATAAAATAGATGGTTCAGTTATGATGCTTTAGTTTTGTTCGGACTCTGCCGTTATAAGCATCTTCACTGTATTCAGTATAATATCCAGGCAGTTGAAGATATTCGTCTCCCCCAAGAAGTTTTCTCTGCTGGAAGGCCTCGAACCTCAAAGTACAGGTTTTTGGCAATCCTACATCACGAAAGGGTGTTGTTAACGCGGATACCTAATGCCATAGTAAATGCTCATGATAGAAAAGTAAAGGAGAGCAACAAGCATGGTATATATGTAAGGTATGCGGCTCCTTGACGGCACTAACGACAGGAAAGCGGGAATGCATTTCCGGGCCAATTTAATGGACCTGCCGCCGGGTCCCGCATATATTTTTGACGTGTCGAATCTGAGAGCGCTTTTCTGACTACGCCGGGGAAGGAGCGTCTTCAAGAATTCATTCTATCGGTCTCAGGGCGATGTATCCATGGCGCAGATTACGGTTGAGTAATGGCCACCTTTTTAATGACTTCAAATCCTTACCAATACCTCTGCGAGGGTGTCACCGGAGCTATGGTTGGTCATTGCTTTAACTAGATGCACAGTTATATCCTCTACACAATCCATGTCAGTCGTCCCTCTGTTATAGATGTAGGAGTGGTGCTGCAATGGAGACAGATATGTTCCGTACCATCAGCCGTGATCCTTGGCTTTGTGCCCAGTAATCATAGAAAATAACTTTGCGGCACAGCACGTATCCTTACAAGAAAAGTTTATTGGCCGGCCCATTATAGAGAAAGAGGTTATAACCGTGAATGACTACCTTTTCGGCCTGGTGGGACTGACCTACGTGGATTCTTCCTCTCAAAATCTTGCTTTCTTTTCGGAGTCTTCCACAGCGCACTTTTCAGTGATGAAGTTCTTATTTCTGTGGCGTCTGGCCCAAAGAATACAGATTCTCACTTTTCCAGCATGTGACGACTGAAGTACTCCACAAAATCAACAAGCCGTTTGTAAGATCCTGGAACACGCCAGAAAATTTCGAAAAGCACCGGTTCGCAAAACGGTTCATTAGTAGGCTGGCTGGTACAGGATCAGATTTTACATCTTACTGGATGGTAAGCAGAATATCCTCAAACCTACTAATCTCGCAGAATAATGCTATAATCGGGGATTTTCCAAGATCCCAAAAGAATTACTGAAAACACAAAACCATGGTACCTTTATAAGGTGCTGTTATCCTATAGATGATTGAGCACATCTTGATATATCGCCACATGCCCATAAGTACTACGAAATCGGAAACGCAAGCATCAAATCGATCGCCACGATGTCCGACTTTTCTCTTATGGAAGATGTCTGGAATGAGATTTGCGGGTATCTCGAGACCGGAGACCTCAACAGCATTTCCTTGACATCCCGCACACTGAATCGTGTTGCCACTCGCTATCTCTATCGAAAGATTCAATGGGATTGGAATGGCAATATGTCTCGATACCGAATCATGTCGCTGTGGACAACTCTTGTCCGAAATAAGGACACACGCAGCCGCCTGTGTGGCTTAATCCGAGAGGTGCACTTACTGGGGCGCAGTCCTCCCCAAAAGACTCAGCTCATTGGGAGTCCTGGGATCCAAGGGTGCAGTCCTGACCTGACCTATATCACTAAGACTGATAAAATGCCGTTTTACCAGGAAATCGACTATCTTCAATATATTGTGGGTTGTATCATAGAAAGCCCGAAGGACCGTGCAGATTGGCGCAGGTCCATTGCAGCACGAAACGTCTACGCCATGGTGGCCCTCCTCCTACCTTTTCTCTATAATTTAAGGTCTCTCAAGCTCGATTACACCTTCCTTGTTAACGGCGGACTTCCTGGAGTGATAATTGAACGCCTCACTTCTGGTGCGAATATATGTTCCGCAGAGTTGCGAAACAACTTTGACCACCTCGAAGAAATCGATTACGGAACCAACGCACTACAAAACAATCTTCCACGTTTGCGTGATAACACACGCGTTCCGTTTGGTTTTTCATCACAAGTGATCCCAATATTTCGGTTACAAAAGATCAAGCACCTCAAGGTCTGGCTACATAGCCATCATGGTCTTCGGCTGTGGCGGGTTCCAGGTATTCAAACGGACTACACGGCACTCAAAACCCTTATCCTGGACCAAGTTTCAATCATGGACTGCGCGCTCTTCAAAATTTTACAAAGAATGAAAAACCTTCGCACTCTTCACCTTGGTATGGACAACGAAGAGAGCAGTTCTTTGTATCATGTTGTACCCTCTTACGATGATGGAGAATGCATTTTGAATGGACTGGAAGCATTATATGAGTGTCTGGAGCACCTCTCAATCAGCTTCTCTAGCACACCAACAGACCTGGAGACTGCCAGTGACACCCACATATGGGGTCCTTTATTCAGATCTATGATGCCTGAATTCTTTCAGGGTTTTACTCGGCTCAAAACACTCGAATTACCGGTCGAGCTGCTTAATGGATTCGAGGATATAAAAGTGCCTTGTATAAATCGAGGTTTACCAGTAACACTGGAAAGGCTTGGCCTACGGTGGGACTTCCAATATGTGGGAAGGGCAGAGGGGTTGACCTCCTATACAGTGCGCGTTCTCCGGGATGTGTTGGCGGATTTCCTTCGGTTGTCGGACCGTCATCGGCGGGTGCCTCTATTGCAGGAAGTGATTATCCGTCTGTTCATCAGCGATGACGAGCTTGATATCACTGTGAAGGAATGTGATGACTTGATTGAGGAATTCAACATGTATGTTGGAGTTCGCTTTGACCATATGCGACCAGGACTCTGGACAAACGGACCTTGATGGTCGATTATATGTCACTGGATATAGGCCTTTGATAACGTCTATGGAATCAATCCAATGAAAGCCATATACACAGCCACCTCCTTAATTCCCCCTCCCGATTTTTGATATTCAAATACGTCCTTTATACCAGGGATGCTGGGCGCTTTTTGTTCTCCTGATTGTCGCCAGAATGGAAGACACAAATGTCATCAAAAGTACATCTTTTTACAACATTTATGTACTACACGATACAAACAAGAATCAAATCATCTACATACACCTACGAAACTCTCATCGTGATGCAACATTTTGTTCATGATTCAAGGTGCACCAATAATTACCTCCTTTCACCAGAGACTTCCAAAATGACTACAAATTTATTAATCAGTGAGTAAAAGGATTGTTGGAATATGAAATCCCTGATAAACATCGCATTGTGTTTGGTCCCATCAGCAAAGCTCATCGCATCATGAGATGTCCAAAGATCGACTTATTGCTGCCGACCCAAGATTATGTATCGAGCAAGGCAATCTCATTCATCTTCCTACTACAGTTATTCACCACCAGAATCCTTAGCAAACAATGAAATAAACTCAGAAACCCTGCAAATCACCACATCGCACATGCCTTCACCTGCAGCCTCGTATCTCGCTCAGCCAGTCAGCATAGCCACATCCTACACTCCGAGTCACGCAAACACGAGACGAGGCGGAGTTATCCGCATGACTACGCCCATCAGCAGCCTCGCGCAACATAAACAAGGCTGAGGCTCTACGCACAATTTTTTATAACGAACTCTGTCCCTACTCAATTCACCGTGCTACAAGACATTTCACCTTTCTACTTTATACAAAGAACTAAAGACATATATATCATTCCAGCGTTAGACGAGGCATCTTCCGATTCATTAAACTCTACACTCCACATAACCAACCTCAACCATAACATAAATACCACCCGCTGTCTCCCCAAATTTTTCAAAATTGAAGACAATGTGCTTCACCTCATACTCTGACGAACCCGCTTCCCCGTACCGTCTTCGACCCACAACCACGTATCGACCCGGTCAGGGAACATCCTGGTCCCGATATCCAAGAAGAACAAGGAGGCGAGGCGGACGATACTATGGAGGAGGCTATGTTCCTGGCGCAGCTTGTGGCGGAGGGGGAAGTGGGCCAGGCTGTGGTGGTGGTGGAGGAGGCGGCGGAGGGGGAGGCTGCGGAGGAGGTGGAGGGGGAAGCTGAAGATGTGTCTGGATGATGTTATTCATTTTGCTTGGGTAGTTGTTTTTCTGTTCCGTTGGGCTACAGGAAAGACTTTGTAATTGGCTTGAGGGGGTAGATGTTTGGCTAGACGGTTTTCAACATATTAAGGGTTAATATTGTGGTATTGATATGAGATATAATCTATCTTTATTTCACGTTTTCCATTAGTCTATACCAAGACATTAAATGAATGCATCATACGCGCTAAAACAAAGGGACTCGGCTGGAACAAATATACACAAGTAGTAATCATTGAGTAGTCAGTGTGCTTATGAGATATATGCTAGTGTATTTGGATTTCAAAATTTCACTGCAATGGACAACCGAGCAATTTGAGCTCGCTCGGAAATCGGAATGGAAGCACACCCTGGGAGCCTCATTAGCAACCACAACATTGTCAAAACCCCACTCACTGCCTAGCAAAATTTCATTTCCAGAATATTCTCATTATTATTAAAGTAAACACGAAATCGTATCCTCTTATCAAAACCACCAATAAGTACTCAAATGCATACTCACTCGGAAAGAAGCAATGTCCTGTCGACAAACACCGCCGTTACCCGCGAAATATCCGTCAATACCCCTAATAGCACGCTTGTCCAACGCACATGATGCACAAGGGGCAATTTATCCGGACCCTGAATAGATTAACTCATTTCTGGCGCATTATCAAGATCCATGTGTAGCTTCCAATTAGACCAAAAGCGTAGATCAGACGCCCTTTCCAAGACATGTCGGAACACCTTCGGAACCAATTCCGGTGCCAACCCCACCGGCCTCGGCTTATCGATAAAAGAAATCCAGATCCTCATTCCTGCCTCCTCCGAACTCTCCGCTGAAGTTCATTTCAGTTCTCCCATTCCACTTCCTCAATCCCTCCTTGGATTACCCCTGGGACTCTCATATCTATTCAATGGATCGCGAACAATTTCGGGAAGCCGCCCACTCGGCCATTGACGACAGTTAGTCCCTGTGCCCAATCCCTGCACCCCGCACTTCTCCAATCCCCGCTCGGATCACCACAAAAAAGCACACACGGAGAGAGAGACACAGCTAACCACCCCAAAAACAACAGTAATCAACTACTTCGATGACCTTCCGAACCAGCGCGTCCTTCCCACCATCGAACCAGGCTACCTCCGTCCCCTAATCCCATCCTCTCCCCCCGAGAACCCCGAACCATGGAGCGCCATCCAATCGGACATTGAAACCAAGATTAAGCCGGGCATCACGCACTGGCAATCCCCCAACTTCATGGCCTTCTTCCCCGCAGGCGTCACCTACCCCAGCATTCTAGGTGAAATGTACAGCGCAGCCTTCACAGCCCCCGCATTCAACTGGCTCTGCTCCCCGGCGTGCACGGAACTTGAGACCATCGTGATGGACTGGCTCGCTCAGGCGCTTGCATTGCCGGAATGCTTCCTCAGCACGTCAGAGAACCGCGGAGGAGGTGTGATCCAGGTTACGGCGAGTGACACGGTCGCGACAATGATGATTGCTGCGAGGGAAAGGCGCGTGACTGAGATTGTGGTCAGTGAGGGGTTCAAGCCTGATACGGTGGAGTATGAGGATCGGATGATGGAGTTGAGGAGTCGATTGGTAGCATTGGCTAGTAACCAGGCGCATAGCAGTACGGCGAAGGGAGCGTTGTTGGCGGGAACGAGGTTTAGAAGTGTCGAGGCGAGGTTGGAGGATAACTTGGAGATGACTGGGGAGAGGTTGAGGGATGTTTTGGAGGGGTTGGATCGGAATAACCTGACGCCTTATTTCATTACCTTGGGTCTTGGTACGACGAATTCGTGTGCCGTTGATCGGTTCAGAGAGATCAAGGCTGTATTGGCCGAGAAGGAGCATTGGAAGAGGATTTGGGTCCATATTGATGCTGCTTATGCGGGTGCGGCGCTGGTCGCGGATGAGTGGCAGTATCTTTCCAAGGAGTTTGCCGAGGGAGTCGACAGCTTCAATTTGAATATGCACAAGTGGCTGTTGGTTAACTTTGATGCTAGGTTTGTCCTTTCCCAGTTCTTTTACGGCACTTCAAGTTGCTAACCGGAATAGTTGCCTCTTCATTCGCAACCGCGAAGATCTCACCAACGCCCTCGACATTACCCCTGCCTACCTGCGCAACCACTACTCCGACTCCGGCAAGGTGACAGACTACCGTAACTGGAGCATGTCTCTGGGCCGTCGGTTCCGCGCCTTGAAGATCTGGTTTGTCATGCGCAGCTACGGTCTCACCGGCATGAAGGACTACATCCGCAAGTCCATCGGACTGGGAGAGACCTTTGCGGGTCTAGTCCGTAGTCGGGCTGATCTGTTTGAGATCATCACCACTCCTGCATTCGGGTTGACTGTGTTCCGGATCAAGAGCCCCAAGTCGGGGACGACGATGGTGGAAGCTGAGAATGGGGTTGTTGTTGCACAGCCGGATGAGGCTGCGAACGAGCTGACCAAGGAGGTGTATGAACTGGTTAACTCTCGGGGAGAAATCTTCATTACTTCGACCGTTATCTGTAAGGTTTATGCTATTCGGGTTGTGAGTACGAACCCGGCGGCCGAGGAGAAGTATGTTAGAAGGGCATTTGAGATTTTGGTGGAGACGGCGGAGGAGGTCATTAAGCGGGGGTAGGTGTTGGATACTCTTTTCTAGATGTTGTAAATGTCTTTGATTTTGGCTGTAGATATGATATATGATGTTTCATTCAGATAGTACTTTATTGAAATTGAGGTGGAAGTGAGTTCATGATGAGCGCGTTCAAATTATCTGGCCATGTTGTTGGCTTGACAGTTTGATGATCATGCTCATCTACGATATTTCCAATGTAATATACATTGTTAGACGAGATAATACAGAGAAGCTCTCCGGTCTCCGGGGTTCTTACCAGGATAGGGGACACATTTTTGGGGCCATAGCATCTGGCAAGGTACGTCTCTCCGAATTCAGTTTCAAACCATCTTTCTAGGTCTGCGGGCCGGTTTTGCCATCCCTCTGGAATTCCGAGTGGGGTTTCAGTAGTCTAAATTGAGCATCAATCAATATGTCTTGTTGGGCGAGGCTTGGCTGTACATTATCTCAACTTCCGGGGAGCTCCATCTCCATGACTTCGAGGGAAACTCGCTCGTAAAGGGGGTTGGCGGAGTTTCGGATTGGCATGTCTATTATGACGGTAACCGTGTCTGAGAGAACTGTTTTCTGGAAATCCAAATGAACTCGGCAACTGAACCAACAGTATGAAGAAAGACACATTTCAATGGAGTGGAACTGCAGATGAAGTCTCAGCCAAGTAGATACGCCATCTAATTATGCGAATGGTCCGAGGGTACGACCCGGGAGAGTCAGTCCTTAGTTTCTTAGATGTAGGATTATAATGACTGTCAAATCCCCTGCCAATTTCTTTGACATAAAGAAGTACATCAAGCTAAACATTGAACTTCACTTGTTACAAAGACATTTATTATCCCCAAAGCAGAGAAACCGCGAATGGCCGCCCACTCACGCAAGAAAGAAGTCATAATGATAAAGTCATTGTAAAGCAGTGACGAAGCCACACTATACATGCAATGGAAGATCCCACTGCAGACCGTACATTACATCGAATGACTACCATTTTTCGCAAGGGAAACGACGCACCAACCACAATCCCTCAAAGCCATCTGCAGATCACATAAATACTCAACACCTCTTCAGAAACCCAGTCTTGGTCACCACGTTTCATCTATCACCCCCTATTCTTCCTTGCCTTTGTAATGCGCACGGTCAGAGAAGGAAAACCCCATGCCATGCATTACCAGTACTATAGAGTAGAAGACCAGCATGGATGTCTCCGAATCATACCTCCCTGGAAGAAAGATATATAGATAATACCTGTACCTCATGAACAGGGGGATGTATCGACTGCCAGCCCTAGTTCCAACACCTGTCACTGCCAGCATCACTATATAAACGTCATTTGTCAACACACGCAAAATTTGAGAAAGAACAAGCCATTTGTCGATTGTCTATTCAAGATGCACCACGTCGAAGAACCAATCGCTCAGATGGAGGACTTTAACATGCTCAGTGATAGTGATATGGATGTGGTTGATGGGTTGGTGCCAGTCTTCGCCGCCTGTGGCTTCATCCCTACCTCCAACCCCGATGATTCCAAGGAGAATATACCCCCTCCAGCAGAGGATGAAGGTACCATCGACGACGATGCTACCGATGTGGCTACCGAGGTAGCTACCGAGGTTGATCTCAACGAAGTCATGGAGGACTTGGACATCGATCATGACTATGAGGCGTCCGAGAGTGGGGATGATAGCGAGTACAGTGAGGAGGATATGGACCTTGCGGATGGTGATAGTGAGCAAGGTGTCGACAGTGACTGGGGGGATGATGAAGAACGGAGAGAAGGTGAAGATGAAGAAGATGAAGACTATGATCCTGAAAACGTGCCCATCAAGAAATCTAGTATTGATCGCATCATAGACACCTTCAATCATCTGTATGATAGTGACGCACGTCTATCTTCTTCTCATCATAATGAGGATGATAGCATGGAAGATCTGGTCTACGGGGATACCGAAAGCGATGAGTCTGGATCAGCTAAGTCTCATGATGGAGACATGGAGGACACCCCAACTGACGACCAGGGTGAGCCTGGCTGTTGCATTCCCTCGCAAATGGATATGTCAGACGATGATGATGAGAGTGAATCTGAGGATGATTCTGAAGACGACGATGAAGACGACGACACTGTGTGGTTCCCTAAATTCCGCTTTCTAGCAAGAGCCAACTATATGGAAGGGTACAATGAGAAGCAGGGAATTATTCATGATCTACGCCCATCAAACCAACCGTACTCGAAATATCCAACGGCGAAACTACATGTATTGATTGAAATCACCACTTACGATCCACCTACCCGAATTCGCGTCCCCGTGAAGCCACTAGTCCTTTCATCCAGGGTCTTCTCCAGAATCTTCGGATATGAAGAAACCGGAGATGCACAGCCCAATAAGCAGGCTCTCTGGGACGAGGATGAGCTTATCTGGTACGAAAATCTGTCGTTCGATTGGCCCAATCCCGCAGCTATGCTATGGGTTCTGCAGACCCTGACCAGGGGATGGGTCGATTGGACAGAACCTGTTGAGCTTGCGCTTATCAGGGACATCGCTGTTATTGTGAATAGATTCGAGCTACGAGACGCCATGGAGCGCTTTTCAGCTGTCTGGCTGGGACACGTCTGTGTGGGACCGGATAGACACGTGCCCTCACACAAAGAGCTAGTGGACTGGGTGTTGTTCATTACTTGGGTATTTCAGTCTGGATCCGGACGGGATTTCCGACATGCTACGCGTGGTGTGATTATGGATTACACGTTCAAGTCCAAGCCAAAAAACGGACTTCTGCCCAGGGATATGTATGAAGCTATTTATCAGGCTCGAGTGGATCTGTACCGGAGCTTGGGGATTATTATTCGGAAACACTGGAATTCCATGGCTGAGAACAACCAGAAGGGTTTTGGGACTCCCTGCGAGCATCAATCAATGTATCCTTGGCTATCTATTCTCAAGGTAACGGATAACCCAAGCAAATACAAGGCGTCTCTGAGTCGCGTTCATCAGGAGATGAAATCGATGGTGATGAACAAATTTGTACTCGAGCCTTCAGCCTGTGCGTGGTGTGAAAGGACAGTGAAAACCCTGCAAGCCTGCGAGGATGAGATGCGACGGATATTGGGGATCGACTGTGATGGTAATCAGGTTCATAAGTCCGATTGCTCCGAAAGACCGTGTTTGCATTGCCCGCAGTTCAACTTCTGGCGAGTGTCCTGGCCTTGTCTAGATTGGCTGGGATGCGAGTCGGATGAAAGGCCGTGCACGAGGATGCATGGGTTAGCGATGAGATGAATTATATAGGTAGAGGGTCCTTTTACCCTGTGCTATACACGGTAGTGTACTTACAGGTGGAGATTTGGTCTCTGTTTAGGTTTTATGCACTCGGGGCAATTTCCCCGCACTTACGCCATGACAGCATTATTAATGCAACTGTATCACATCAGCAACAACTAGCAACATAACTATTATTTCTCCTTCTCTTTTGCTCACTCCCTTTGCCTGTTTCTTCAATACACAAGCACTAGTGTAACTCATCTTCCGCTCCCCCATAACCATGCCCCTCGCTAGAGCAACCTTCAACGACATCGTCCTCGCCGAATCCCCCACCTGGGAGACCGTCGAAGGGAACATCTACGTAAGCCCCCAAACCACATAGCCTATATACCCAAACAGACTTACCACAATATCCAGTTCCCACCCACCGCAATCAAAGATAAATCGCTCTTCGTTCCGATCGACAAAGTGACATATTGTCCGTGGAAAGGAGATGCATCATATTATTCTCTTGTGATTGGGCGTTAGAATCTCCCTCCATCTCTTCGTTTGTTCAAACTGCTCCCCACGGAGACAGAGTGATTATATCGTTGTTAACAGTTTGATATCTAGCTACGTCAATCCCCGGTGCAGCGTGGTATTATCCCAACCCATATGACGCTGCAAGCAATATCAAGGACCATGTAGCGTTTTGTATGTTTGACCTATTAATTGTTTCTAGGCTAGTGGAAGTTGTGAAGTCAGCTAACAGCGCACGGGTTCAGACACGACAGAGAGTATCAAAGTGACCGTGGAATGAAAGCATAGTGGAGCTTGATGTGGTGAATGGCATGTTTGTAGTAAGCATGGATGATTGATACAGAAGTACTAGTTTGATATAACATTCACATTCAATACCCGAGTACATCTATCCTAGTACGAAAGAAACAAGCACCCGTCACTCACTACTCCATTTCTTCACAAGGCCATACTTCTCCTTCAAAAGTCGAATGGCGGCCTCCGCCAACTTTCCAATCTTCCCAATCTTCGCAATCTAACCATGCTAATATCCCAATTGAGATCGCCTCGCAACCCGCGCTGTATCTCCACCGCCATAAGGGAGTCAATCGGCATCTCTACAATATCCTCCGCGGACATCTTAGCAGCCCGCGGCATATGTCGCGCCAGGTGCTTGCTCAATTCGTTAAGTCAGATTGTTCTCCACATTGGGCTCAAGGAGCATGGCCGGCTTCTGCTCGATCCACCGCAGGAGCTCCTCGAAGGCTGCCCCACCAGCAATTGTTCTTTGTCCTTCCTTTAGCTCGATATTGGTATAGAGGGAGAATCGCGGGTCGGAAGGCGGCCACACTGTCCGGACAGTAGGGTCGCTCGTGGGGCGGGTGTTTCCAAGGCCGACAATACAGGCGTCTGACGTTATCCCCAGGGAGGTGGTGGACCGCTTCGTGGAGCTCCTGGAACATGAGTATGGATGCTGCGCCGTGGATAATGACAGTCACTTCCTGCTGCAGTCTATCTCAATCGGCTTTCTTCAATCCCAGGTGTGACTCGGTGGTATCGCCGATGAGGCAGAGCACTTTGCCGGAGTCGAAGATCTCTTTCACCTGTTCCGGCATTGATGCCTCCCATTTCTCCATGGCCTGTTGCAAAGAGTGGCGACACAGTACGTAAACTTTTTGGTGGGCAGCTGCACGGCCAATTTGTATAGGATACATCCTCCAAGATTGCCAGTGGCTCCAGTCAGGAAGACCACTTGATCGCGATACCAGTTGACATGGTCAAGACGGAGGAGATCGTCAGCCATACTCGTCCTGGACTGTCCGGATATTGGAATGCAACGCTGCTCAACGACCCTTTCGGTATAGCTAGAGGTGTATTCATTCCCATCATGATCCCCAAGACATGCGACGTAAGGGCCACTGTCGTGCTGCAAGGGATACTAGCGGACTGACCCTTGTCGCAGGTCTCCATGAAGTTTAGTAGCCTACCCCGGGCATTCTTGCTTTCTTGAGAAATGTACCCGAGTAAGGACAGCGTGTTTACCTACACGTTTCTTCCCCGCCCTCAAGATCTCTCTATGAAGATCCCCAAAGAGGCCCGACACGTATGAAAATCACTTCCTAATGAATTGTCACCTCATGCATAAATAACGCGGACAAGCAGTAGTAGCAGCAGCATGCAATGGAATGCCCTTTACCTGGGCTTCCCATGTCTCATCTTGACTTTTTGGCGTCCGATACATTGACATCAAGATGAGTCATTTCATGATTGCAGCTGGTCGCAATAAGTTGAGGAATTAAGGAAGTTAAACGTTGAAACCTTCTTCTCTTAGTTTTTGTTTCTCTTCGTACTGGATACCGTGTTCACCACCCAACCACTCAGGCATTGCCTTTCGGCCACCCACACAGCGCATAACAAGATCAGAGTATAGACCGCAACACAGTAATGACACCACCGATAGACATTTCCGACGTTAACGGCCCCTGATGGTCGGATTAAATTGCTAAGAGCGCAAGAGCTGCATGACGGACGAAGTAGGTGTATCACTGACCTGGACGGATTTTCCTCCTGCTGCCGGCCTTCTATAAGAACGCTGCTGGTTCTCTTAACTAGGCCGTGGAGACATCCGAGTTTGACCTCTGCTAACCCTGTCGACCTCTTTCTGTTCATTGGCTCAGACGATTCGGGGTTTATTTCCCGGAGTAATCCGGCCGTACGAACGAGAATGCCGTATACCATCGGGAATGCTGGAGTCCTGTCCATGGTTGTTCATGGCCCCCCTGTCTAGCAGTAGGGGTATGTTAGTAGTAATGCTCAAACTACAGAGCCAATAAGTATATATCTTTCCCTCCCTCCCTTTTCACAGAGCCAACGCCCCATGCAAACACCTCATATTCATTACCCTGTCAACAGAACCGACAAAAAGCATCATGCGCCTCCTCAATTTTGCCCCATTTCTGTGTCTGCTTGGGTCCACCCAGGCCCTATCATTAGGCCAACGCTGTCTAGAAGCACTCAATACCATGAGCACCGTTCCCGGCCAATACATCGCAACCATCGAGCGGGAAACATGCAGTTGGGGTTGCAAACCTCGGCCAGAAGAATGGGATACGGCGTTCGAAGGGGTCATCCAAAAGGTTGTCGAAGATGGGGCGCGATACACTGGCATTGACGACCCCAAGGCGCAGGATGCTTTCGCAAGCTACCTGAACGACGTCTTCCAAGATATCAACAGCAAATGTGGTGATCGCCTCGGCGATGACAATCTGTGCAGCGATTCTCCCCAAACGGCGGCGCTGAAGCAATGCGTCGATGATAACGCCAAGTGGGCGGCAACAACAGCTGCCTTGCGGCTTGTGGGCTATTTGTCCGAGGACAGGTGCGAGAAGGTATCGGACTACTTCAAGAGTGAGCAGCTGTGGAACAAGGATTTGCCGAACAGGTCTCAGGTCTATGTTCAGAACTGTTAGGGGGTATAGAGTCTGGCTGAAACGATAGAAGTTTATATCTATGGTCCACGGAGGAAAGAGGAATTGTCGCTTTCCGATGGGGTCAGACAAGAGACGGATGATCTGGCTGAAATGAAAGGAATAACTCGTGACGGATAATGGAAGAGCCATGTCAGAATGAACCTTTCGGTATCAATTTTCGCGGTGATCAGTAGGCCATGGTGGTGGGAGGAAACGGGATCCACGGCAGGTATTTGCGAAGATTTAGCCAGGCGTCTATATACTATTGAGATGGCAAGGGCTTCAAGTAGAGGTCTGCAAGCTTGTATCTCTTAAAGACGGCGTAGCATTGTGTAAATGCAAACCTTACTTGCATGCTGGAACAAAGTGATATGATCGGATATACTCTGGAGTATTACTGAGATTGTCTGGAATTGAACAGATCACCCCCGAGATAACTCTGGGTCTGTCAGCTCATTCAACAGTTCCGTCCAGTCGGCAGTGTCCAGGGCTAGGTCGTTTCCTGTCTCAAGCATTTCGGTCCAGATGTCCTCTAACTGCCTTTCTTGGGTAACATTGTCACTAGTGGCAGCTGGGAGATGTGGCGGGACATTGCTAAAATCAGTTCTGAGAGGTTGGGTATAAGCCTGTGTGTGACCCGGATGAGAACGCGCTGCGTCATTCCCATGTGGAACAACAGGGGCGCTCTCATCACTCCGCTGCAGCTTTCCAGTCCTCCAATGCTTTTGTAGTACACCCATCATGGCATTTATTCCTTCCCTGACCAGGGCAGAGGACTCTTGTGCCTTGCTCAGCATGCGGCAGGCCTCTAGCACTTCTTCCTTGCGCTTCTCGGCGAGTATATCGTCCCAGTTGAAGCACACGTCCAGTAATAGTATTACGGCGGCAGCGAATACATGATGCATAACTGACCAGACAACAGAGTTGGGTGGGGTATAGTTTGGTTCGTTTCCGTCCATGATCCTCTTAATCTCGAGCACCTTTCGGGCGGATTGTAGACAAATAACATGAGAATAGGAGTACGCTGGCTCACGGGCCCCTCTGATGAAGAAGTCACGATGTAGGCGGCACAAACGCGAGAAGAAGCCCTGTTGCAGGAGACAGCCTTGCCAGGCAATGGTCGGGCGCTCTTCGTAAAGCGAAGCGAAACGTCGTCGAGATGACGGGTCCAGGCGGAAGAAACCAGGTATTTCCGCCACAGCTTGATGGAACTTTCGGTCTAGCTCGAGGACTTTTTCGTATTGTGGCTCCAAGCCATGCAGGTGCTCGTAGGATGTTGCATCAACTATCTCTCGGCAGACAGACGCTAGTTTCAGACGTTGAAGGAAGAAGGACATGTCTGTTGGTGTGGAACTTGGCAGTGATACCATTTCGCGACACATTGCTTTGTCATCTATATTTAAGGGTTGGTTGACGTTCATGTGGCGCGGCTGGATGAGATACGTCCACTCTTGAGGACCAGGGAGGAAGCCCAGTAGCCTGCAACGTTTAGTGAGCGCTTGGCATTCACAGAGCTCTGGATAGTTATTACCAGTCAAAAGACGTCAGATCCCACCAAATCCGTCTCTTGAGTTCCAGATCTACTGAATCGTAATCAACTCCCTCTCTCTCATTCCGAGACCGTGGAGAGTCAATGCAATGGAGCATAAGACTCTTTGCTTGGCTGACGATAGCGCCGTGCACAAAGAGACCGCTCACAGACGGTGGAATGTTCCAGTTGGAGACATTATGCATGACTACCATGGTAGCCTGTAAGCCCACGAGCGTCGGAGATAGCGAGTAATGGCTCTGGATTAACGCGGCACCAGTAAGGAAGGCAAAGTCTCGGCTTCGACCTTCTACATCGGCAGATGCCACCACAGTTTGCTGCAGACATAGAGAGCTGGCTAGGATGCCGAAAAGCAGCGCCAAGTGGCTGAGATCTACGGGAGCACCCCTTTCGATGCAACAGTAGATCCCATCTATTTGGTCCTCCACGCACTTGGGAACAAGTATATGGTAGAGATAGTCGACGTAGCGATGATAATATCGAAAGAGATCCAAAGCCTCCGACTTCGCGGGGATAAAGTCAGTCAATTTAATCGACGCCGGATTCTCGTTAATGGCGGACCGATTCATGTATGGCATTGATAGCAGGGGTCTTGCTGTCTCCTGGTTCACGCTTAAGTTGCGCCCTCTTACCGAATCGTCTAGTTCATCTCGAAACCATTTCGGGGTTGCTGTTGGCACCCGGTCAGCCATGGGGATGTTCTCCAGCCAGACCGCTGTGAGTAGCGACTCCCGATTGCTTGGCCGCAATGGAGCTTCAGTAGGTCCAGTAGAAACATTTTCGGCTCCCGGAGGCACACTTGAGTTACTCGCAGGTGGTGTCTGCATTGCGCCAGCCGGTGATGAGTTCGGGACCCTTGTGACCTCTGGTCTTCCATAACGGCATGCCAACCGGCGCGCGGAGCAACTGCTGCATGGCTGCTGACGATCGCATTTAATCTTCTTCTGTCGACAAGAGTCGCAAGACACTGGGTCCTGCCTGGGAGCGCGTCTGGAGGTATGCGCAAATTGTAATGCAGCCTTGCGCTTCATGATGAGATCAGATGAGATGCCGAGTTGATGACTTGACCGGAGGCGATTAATTGACCGAATCACGTGAGTGTCTATCTCCGCTTTAGCAAACAGTCATTTCACTCCTACACTACAATGTTGTAGAGAGCAATGATGTTCCGTGATGCTGATAGAATTGTTGTCGGTTGTTTCTGCAGTGTGGATTGTTGGTCGTGATGGCCCGCCGCCGCCGCCCGGAAGCTCCGCGGACAGTCCGAGCCTCCATCAAGCTTTATACATACTATCGCAACACCATGAACCATGTCCCCGGAGGCTCCGGGGCTTACAACTTTGATCTGTATCACTTGTCACTGTATGAAAATGATATATATGCGCTCGGAGGCTCTGCTTCAACATGTTCTATCAACCCCAAATAACATTGAGCCTCACTAGACACCATATCTTCAGCTTCACCTTGTCAAACCTAACTAGCAACCATGGCTCACCCTAACGATGCCCCTTCCACCAAAACACCCTCCGAGTACACGTACCTCCCCCATACCCCCAACAAGAAACATATCACTAACTACACCAGACCCCTTGCCATAATGACCCTCCTCGGCTCATTCTGCGGCATGTTCTGCACCGTCGGCTTCGTGAACTCCTTCGGCCTCTTTCTCGAGTACTACAAAAAAGACCAACTCTCCAACCAACCCGAATCGACCATCGCATGGATAGCCTCAATCGACATCTTCTTCATCTTCGGGGTGTCTGTCGTATCTGGCCCTCTTCTCGACACACTCGGGCCACGAGTGCGTATTCACCCCATGCATATCCACACTATACTAACTAATAAACGATGCAGCTCCTCCTCTGCATCGGCTCCCTCGGCACCATCTTCTCCATAATGATGACCTCCCTCTGCAAACAACTCTACCAATTCATTCTCGCCCAAGGCATCCTCCTGGGCATCTCCCTATCCCTACTCACCTGTCCCATGATCGCCCTCGTCGGCCAACACATCAAGATCAAGCGCGGCGCAGCAGTCGGCATCGTCATCGGGGGATCCTCCCTCGGCGGCGTCCTCTGGCCGATTATCGTTAATGAACTACTCAAGAAACCGAAAATCGGGTTCGGATGGACCATGCGCATCGTGGGATTCATCATGTTGCCGCTACTCACAGTGACGTGTATTTGTTGTAGGCCTGCTGCACCACCACCACCATCACCTTCTCAACAATCACAGGCGCACCCAGAACCAGCATCAGGAAAACCCTCACCCCAACATTCTTCTCCCTCCCCAAAAGAATCAGAATCAAATACAACCCCCCTCCTCAAAAACCCAACCCTCCACCTAACCTGCCTCTCCTTCTTCATCATCTACTTCGGAATGTTCTCACCCTTCTTCTACGTCTCCAGCTACGGCGTCGCGAAGGGCTTTTCCTCCTCGTTTTCATTCTATACGATCTCAATGCTGAACGGCGCGTCCCTCTTCGGGAGAATCATCGGGGGCATGCTAGCTGACAAGTACGGACGGTTTAATGTCTGTATCGTGTTTACGATCCTCTCCGGGGTGATTTGTCTCTGTTGGACGAAGGCGACGAGTGTGGCAGGGTTGGTAGTGTTTGCGGTGGCGTATGGGTTTGCTTCGGGGGTTGAGTTCTTCCCCTATCTTTGAGTTGGGTATGGATATGAGGGCTAATGATGGATGTGTGTAGGCTATTCTCTCCCTCCAGCAAGCATGTGCATTGCAGCTTGCTACGCCGAAGACGGTGGGGTTGGCGGTGGGGGTTGTTATGGGGGCTACTGCTTTGAGGTATGTATCTACTAGTATTTCATACTATGGTGGTGGTGGTGGTGCTTGGGCTAACGGTATCCTGGGATGGGAATATAGTGCTATGGCTGGGATACCTATCTCCGGAGCGCTTGTGCAAAAGTATGGGTTTCTTGCGCTGTCGGTATACGCCGGGGTGAGCCTGTTGGTGGGTGGGGTGTTGTTGGGTGTGGCGAGGGGGAAGCAGAGGTTGGAATTCTGGGCTGTTGTTTGAATTCTTACATACTGGGGGGTGTGTTGAGTGATAGATGGGATGTCGTGTTGGTTCAGTTGTTGGTTATGGTATGCCGAGTAGGCTAGAGGGTGATGACTGTTTTATAGAATGTATTTCATATTTAAATCCGCTAATCTTGTATTAGCGCTAGCTAATTAGTCTCTCTTCTCCACTCATCTGCTACGCTACAACTAACATCCCCTAGGAAGAAGTGTACTCCCCCTTCGCATCCGACTAAACCCACCACCACCACTATAACCCGCTCCCTGTCCCAATCCTCTCTTCGCAAAGCCCCTCCATATCTCACATCGGTTCTTTCCCCCAGTCAAGACAATATCTGCGTCGAGGATCGCATCTCTCGCTTGCACGAAGTTCGGATTACATGGTTGTCTTCATTCAAATATTAGTCAAGAT